GTTAATAAACTTATAATATACACATATTTTTAAGGAAAAATAATAATTTAGATACTTGTGGTTTAGAATTGATGTAAAAAAAACTCAAGATTTTAAAATGAGTATATAATATACTTGTGATTTGAGGTATGTACACATAAAAACCTAAGATTTCAAGATGTGCAAATAAAGACATAATATTTGTATTAGATATACATAACCACTTGAAATTATATGAAATTGTCTTAAATATCTATATATTTTTTTCTTTTCATTCTTTTAAGTTAGTAGTTTTTAAGAAATTTTAAATGATTATTTGCACCAAATGCATATCGCAAATGTTTATATGCATATATTGATATCTTAAGTCTTTATTTACACATCTTTATGTGTACTTATCTCATACTATAAGCAGCTAAATCATAATTTTCTCTATTTTTAATTGTTGAACTTTTAATATATTTAGATTTTTAGTTCTTAAATTTATAATATATATATCTTTTCTTGAAATTTATAATTTCAATAATTAAAAATTTACATATATAAACAAATTTAACAAATTTATTGACAAAAGATTTAAAAACAAATTTTTTTATAATTTAAGAATTAAAAAATAAAAAAAATAATTCATAAACTAAAAATATTTTTTTGAACATGCATAAACTAAAAATATTAAAAATTAAAAAACTAAAAATAACATTTAACCTTAGGAGGGCCCAAAGAATTTTGGAGAGTGGTCTAACATCTGATGAAATAGTTGTAGGATTTGTTCATGCACCAAAATGTTGAAGAATTGATTTATTGTAGCTTCATATGGATCTTGTGAGAGGATAGTGGTGAGGAGTGAGGACTTCACGCTGCCATGATTGGACTGAGAAGTCTTTTGATTCTGAATGTGATGTGCCTGGTGTGGGGTACCGTTTAGATATGGATGGGACTGGGGCCTTTGTTTGTCACGGGCACAAAAATTTTAGCTCCTTGAAAAAGGCAGATACAGCCAGACGACGGAAACAACGTGGAATCAAAGATCACATGATGCACCTACAAATACAAATCTTTGTTTGGTTTATTGAGAAAAACACGGCAACCCCTTTCAAACACTGTTCAAAAATGAGTCTAGCTGATGCCACCGTAAATATCACCAAATTTTGGTTTTTTTTTTCTTTTTTTGTCTAAGAATATTAATTATTAATTACTAAATATGAATTATTTTACTAGTTATTAACTAATAATTATAATTATTAAATATTTTTATCAATTAAATTAAATAAAATTGATATTTTTAAAAATAATATTTTTTTTTAACTTTTGTGACCATAATATTATTGTTAATGATTATAATCATGCCCCTTTCAGATGATGCTCATTATAGGAGTTGCAAACTTGCAATGTACATGAGAGAAGTGTTTATCAATTAATTTTTTAAAAATTTAATTGATAGAATGTCATAAAATTACGTCATTTTAATATAGTTTCATTTTAAAAAGCTTGAATAATTTATTTTTAAATTAGCAATGAGTTTGTTTTGATCTTTTTTCATGAATCTTTAATGAAACAACTTAGTTTCGAAGTATTTTTCATCTTAATTTTTTTAAACTCCTGCTAACATATATATTTAATATTCAAAACTGGAAAATCTAGTTGAATTATATTTTCCTTATGGGTGTGAAGAATAATGATTCCACATTAAAAAAATATGAAAAAAAAGAGTGACTTAAATATATCAAAACCCATACATTTATTGAATTAGTCTTTTCGTTTTAATATAATGTCAACAAATGTAATAGCCTAACAATGTGAGAGTGTTTATTATGTAAAACTTGTGATGAGTATACCCATAGATGATATTGTACTCATGATAAGTATATCCGTGGACTATGATTATATGTCGGAAAAATGAATCAAGTATAGTGGAAGTGTGGAAGTGTTAAAGTATATTTCTTATGTGAGTGTGAAAAACTACTAGACTAGCCGGCCGGATGTCTCCCAACAAATCTCAATATTCTCCCAAATTGCTCATCTTTAAAATGAAGTTCACACTTTTTTGTGATACTACTAAAATGAGATATTTGGGTGAGGTACAAAATGAGAAGTGTCAATTTATTTGGATTTTAGACTCCATTTAGTATGACTGTGGATTTTAGTTTTTAATAATTATAGTCATTAGTTATTTTTATTAATTAAATTAAATTAAATTAGTATTTTTAAAAATAATATTTTTTAATTTTAATAACCATAATATTATTGTTAGTGGTTATAACCATACTCCTTTCAAATGATGCCTATTATGACAATTGCAAACTTGCAATATATATGAGAGAAGTGTTTGTCGATTGGATTTCTAAAAAATTAATTGAAAAAATGGCATAATATATTATTTCAATATACTTTCATTTAAAAAGACTTAAATAACTTATTTTTAAATTAGTAATGAGTTTGTGTTGATCTTTTTCCATGGCTCTTTAATGAAACAACTTAGTGTTGAAGTGTTTTTCATTTTAATTTTTTTAAGCTCCCGCTAACAATATACATATTTAATATTCAAAACTGAAAAATCTAGTTGAATTATGTTTTCCTTGTGAGTGTAAAGAATAATGATCTCACATTAAAAAAATATGAAAGAAAATAGTGACTTAAATATGTCAAAAACTATAAAATTACTAGACTAATTTTTTGATTTAAAGTATATATATTTCTTCTCATGGGAGCCTTCATAACAAGTAAAAGGGAAAGTGTTAAAGTATATTTCTCTTGTGAGTGTAAAAAGGTACTAGATAGCCGGATGTCTCCCCAACAAATCTCAATATCCTCCCAAATTGCCCATCTTTAAATTGAAGTTCACACTTTTTTTGTGATACTACTAAAATGAGATATTTGGGTGAGTTAAAAAATGAAAAGCGTCAATTTATTTGGATTTTAGACTCTTTTTAGTGTGGTTGTGGTTTTAAGTTTTAAATTTTGATTTTCAAAAATTTAGAAATCCTAAACTAAAATTAAGTACTCCCTTCCTTAATTTTTAATAGACCTAATTTCACTTTTTGACTTTTTGAATATCAATTTTAGATAAAATTTAACATATTATATAAATAATAATAGAAAAAAAAATTTATCAAATAAAAGTACTCAATGAGAACTTCATGTAGAAAGAAAAAACTTTTTAGTTATAGTTTATATAAGTTATCAAATTTTTATTTAAAATTTATGTATGAAAAGTAAAAAAGCCAAACTAACTCTATTAAAAATGAATGAAAAATTACTTCTATAAATTAATTAAGTTTGAAGTTTTAAATATTTATTTTAAAATTTTATACCCAATAAGTTAGTAATTTTAATTTTTAATTTTAGTTACTAATTATTAATTTTAACTATTTAAATTTTAAAGATCAAAACTGAAAATTTAAAATCACAATCATATTAAATGAATACTTAACCTAACTAATATCAACTGCAAATCGCCCTGTCTCATCACAATAAAAGAAGAACACAACCTTGAGCCCTAGTGCTCTTGACAAAAGGTTCGGGCCTAAAAGATTCAATCTACAAAATATTCTACCGTGGGCTACGACTTGTTGTGGGCCTCTTAACACTGTCACTTTTGGCCCATGAGATGCTCAGAACGTTAGGTTTATTTCATCTGTTTCAAGAAAATTATAAAAATTTTTTATTTTTTTCTAAGTTAAGAACTTAAGGACAATATTTGTATTAATTTATAATATTTTAAGAAAGAAATAGTAAAAGATAAAAAAAGACTTTATGGCATTTGAACTTTCAATCCAGTGGCGTCAGGCCATATATAAGTGCATTATCCCTCTCTCAAGATAACGATTAGAATCTGATCCATTGTGAATTTATTCAAAAAAATAATAATAAAAGACTTTATGATTAATGATTAATTAAAGTGAATAGATAATAATAAAACTAAAGTAAGAAAGAAAAACAGGTTTAATTATCTTGCATTTTAAGGATATAAGATAAGGAATAATGGTTGAGTAATAATTATAATATTTTTAAAAAAAAATTTAAAACTTTGAATTAAAAATATAATTTCCGTTTTTTAATTTATAATGAACCGATAAAAAGTTAACATATAATATCTAGATTTAAAACAAAAATAGTTTCATCACTTTTAAGGTGAAAAGTAGTAATTATTACTCAATAATTACTTTTTATCATGTGCCCTTAAACAAACAAAAAATTATTTGTTTACTTTAAAAAATAAAAAAATAATTAATTTAAGACAATTATTTTTGGACTAGTCCTGGCAAAATTGGACCTAATCTAAAAATCCGATTTAACCCATCCATTATAGGTCGAATGATAGGTCTTATGTGTCAATTTGAAATCTGAAATAATCCGAATTGAAATTATCTAAACCCAAATGAGTTAGATTACAGGTAGATCAGGTCACCTGAAATGACCCGAACTTTTATTTATTTTTTCTATTAGATTATTTTAAAAATAGTTTTAAATTTCTAATTTCTTAATATTAAAAGTAAAAATAAATAAAATACTCAAACTCTAACCTCCTTTCAATTTCTCTTTCTGTCAACTTTTCCTCTTCTCCACTCTTATTCTCCCCTTCATCTCAAGCTTTTTAATTCTTCTCTTTGGTGGTATTTGTGTCAAAAATCAAGTTATGTGGCACATAATGAGTTGTATCATATGATATTGTCAAAAAAATTTTAAAAAATAAAAATAAAAAGCAAGAATGCCTACTAAAAATCAAAAACTAATGGTTGAGAAACTCTCATCATCGTTAAAAGCACAATGACAAAAACATCAAAAACATCAAGGTTTGATCTTAGTTGCTAATTTATTCTAAATTACTAATTTGTTCTTAATTAATAATTGGTTCATAATTAATAAAAATCAATCTAGATCCAATTTCTTCTTGTATTTGTTTAGACATATTTTAAATTTACCTTTTAAACTTTAATATTGAATAAGACTATACTTTTTGTACAATACCTTTCTAAACATTGAATAGAATTGTATTTTTTGTATAATACTTTATAAATATTGAATAAACACTAGATATTAACACATATATTGGATTTGTCTTTTGAATTATAATCCTTCATGTCTCTTTTTTCAATGAAACTTAATGTTTTTATGAATTATAAATTCTAAATATTGTATACGCATTATATATTTGACATATGTTTTAGTTCAACATATATAATTAGTATTCTTTCCATTTTCTTTTCTTGAGATTGGAATGAAAATTAGCGTTGAATAAAGTTTTCACACTAAATAGTTAATTAGTATTACACTTTGTTAAAGAAAAATAGAGAAAAATAAAAAAAATTAATTTTAATTTTAAATTTAAAAAATTGGGCCCACACGACCCAATCCGAGACTTGTGTGGGTGGGTCATGGGTCTATCCTTTTAATCCAACATCCAAAATGATCTAATCCAAAAAATCCGAAATCCAAGATGAATCCGAACCTACTCAATTCGACCTATTTGCCAAGTCTATTTTGGATAGAAGAGTATAAATCATTTTATATTTTCTTTCGTGGGCACCTTTTTAAGGTTTTTCACATACTCGAAACCCTACAAGACTTAAGAGGTGAATTCATAATGGTTTGATTCATGGAGTTCAAAATGGCTATAACTTATTGTAACTAAGGTTTCATTTTTCAGTACTTTAGACAGTACTTTATAAAAAAAAATGTAAATTTTTAACTTTTAATTAATTTTAATTATGATAATTTTTATACACTTTTATTAATTTTAATTAATATTTTATATTTTTTTGGATAACAAAAAATTAAAAAATAAAAATTAAACTATTGCCATGCATAATACTCTCAAACAAAGCCTAATTAGTAAGTGCAAGGTAATGCGTAAGTGGACATATCAATTACGCCTTGAAAGCCCATTTCCCAAACGAATATCTATTTTTCATGCCCACCTGCTACTCGCCCTTACATTTTCCATAATAGTTGAAGGCAATTTTGTATCTAGAACAAATGCTACACATATAAAAAAATTAGTAGTTATAAGATTCTCATTGACTTGTTGAAACTGTTCATGTATGTGTCAGCTTCACCTCTCTACTCACTAATTGTTTGAGACAAAGTAGGCTTATCCTCTATACATAATGAACCTGCCTTCATATCACAAATTTGACAAAACTACACCAACTCAAATAACCAATCAATTTTTTAATGTAAAAAGATTCAAACTTTGATGCTTTCTAATCTCAAAAGGGGTTTTCTTTTCTCATCAAAATGCAATGCACCAGTGACCTATGTAGCATTCATCCATGTTCTCATCATACTTACCTTGTCCCAAACTCAAAAACTATTTACCTTTCATCATCCTTCTCTTGATTGAAACTTCCCATGTGGTTGGTGCTGCCAGGGAGTTGGGGTTACCGGAGGAGTATGTTGTTCCGAGCCACCTCAACTTTTTCCGGTCAGCCCTGAGGGGAAGGCAGAGGCTGCTGTCATGTGCTGGTGATCCTGGTGTGTGCTTGGACCGGGAGAGGAATCCATGGGGGGGAAGCACCTGCTGTTTTGGAAAGTTCTGCAAAGACACTCTGAGGGATTCAAATCATTGTGGAGCTTGTGGGCAGGCATGTGGTTATGGGCTTGTGTGCTGTGATGGAAAATGTGTTGATGTTCAGAATGATACCAATAACTGTGGTTCTTGCTTTCAGGAGTGTCCTGCAAAAAACCGGTGTTCCTTTGCAATTTGTGGTTATGGTGAGTGAGTGATTGATCAATAAAACAAAATCCTTCAAACAATTTCCACATCTTCTTTTTGCTCCCAAATTCCTATTTGTGTCCATCACGGGTTTTTCTAGAACTTGTTAATAAAGCATTGCAATTCTTGGTACTCTACTTTTCTGTCAATTGTCCCTTTGCTATTGGAATATACACCTCTAGATATGGTTTTGTTGTTAAATGTAAATAAAGTGAAGAGATCGATCTTGAAATAATTAAGGATAATTGCAATTTATAAATAGGGATGAATCCATTTTCCCTTACCAACCTATGTTAAACACAACATTATAGCTCACATGTTTGAAGAAAGAGTACCTTGTAAAATAGTCATATATGATAAGATGTTCTAGTAATTAAGAACTTAAACTCTTTAATTTAAAGTATTGAGTTTAAATCTTATAACAGGTGAAGAGGATTTTGAAACAAATTATTAAAAAATATCTCTAATTTTATATATGATCCAAGATTAGATGTATATATATTTTTTAAAAAAATACAGCTAATATGTAGGTCATAATTCGAACTAAGAGATGAACGAGATAGCGCATCTTGTCTTGGCATAATAGGTGAACGATTGATTCAAAATGAAGGATTATTGATCTCCCCGCACTGGAACCCACCTAGAGTCTGGCACATGCTTTACAGCCTAATGAGTCAAAAATACAACCCCTTTTTGATGGCTTAGTTAACTGAAGCCATAAAGCTTTTTCTCACTAAATTCACTTCTTTTTCCTTGATTTGAAATCAAAATTCCAGGAATGTGAAATCCTAGTTCAAATTTGCAAGTTTCTGAAATATTAGCAATATATTTGAATAGAAAAGAATGGAAAGAAGAAAAGGAAATTTATATACTTTCATTTCTCAATCCCTTCTTTCATTTAGATAAATTAATTAATTAAAAAAATAAAATAAAATAAAATAAAATAACATTCATTTTTTTAAATTTTTTTAGTAATCAAATAATGGAAATTTTTTTCCTCTCCTTTTCTTTCATTTAGTTTTCTTAACCAAAACATATAGTAAAGGAAGAAAAAAAGAAGGGGGCACAAGCATTTGTTCCAAGAGTGGGAATTCACCCAAACACGCCTGTATTGGGTTTCAATGAACGGCGGAAACTAACCCTTTCCTTTGTTTTTCCTCCTTCATTCCAATCGTTACTCCAATTAAAAAAAAAAAAAACAAAAAATCATTATACTGGTTATCATTGACCCAATATTCCCGAGAGAAATAACGAAGGACAGTCCTCTCTGTCCCCAATTGTGCAGGCGGTGCAGCCTTTATTTACTTTTTATTACCAATTAATCTAAATCTTAACCATTTTTTTCTTAATCGGCTTCGCTATTGTCACGTGAATAATACAGTAAATATATTTTATTTAATT